AAAAGTTGAGCTGCTGCATTTGGTTGCTATAAATAAGCCAGCTAGACCAAAATACGTATTGGACGAAATGGCTAAGGAAGACGGACACAATGTAATGCGCCTTCCACCCTACCATTGTAAATACAATGCCATAGAATTGATTTGGGCGCAAATTAAAGGCAAGAATTTAAACAAATCTTTTTTATTATTTATTTTTACCTATTTTAACATTTTATCTGTTGCTATATTAACACGTAAACCTTTATTTTATGTTATGCGGCTCGTAAAATACCAGCCCACCGTTTACTGCAAACAAAATGCTGTCATTGTTGCAAGAAGCTTGTGATAGTGTTACTGCCGCGAATTGGGAAAGTGTGATTTTACGAACAAAAAATTTGATTTTTGCTGATTGGGACAGGGACATACATATCGATGCCGTCATAGAAAACCAAATTATAATAAATACAGGGGATTCTACAGACGATGATGAGGGTGATGACGACGATGCCGACCATGAAATATCGTTTTTTTTTTTATTTATTTTTTATAGGAGAGGGGGCAAACGAGCATGCGGCTCACCTGATGGTAAGTGACTACCGCCGCCCATGAACAACCGCAACACCAGGGGAATTGCAGATGCGTTGCCGGCCTTTTAAAAAGGAGTAGGCTCTTTTCTTGAAGGTCCCTAAGTCGTATCGGTCCGGAAAAACCGCTGGTGGTAAACTATTCCACAAAGAAGTTGTGCGAGGAAGAAAACATCTTCTAAATCGCACAGTGGTGGACCGCCAATCATCCAGATGGTGTGGATGGTATCGGGAGTTCTGCCGCGATGTGCGTTCGTGAAATTTGGCGGCTGGGATTAATCCGAACAATTCCTCAGAGCACTACCCATGGTAGATGCGAAAGAAAATGCAAAGGGATGCAACATCTCTTCGCAGTGCCAATGAATCGAGCCGATCGGAAAGGGCTCGGTCGTCGACGATTCGCGCAGCTCTGCGTTGGATGCGGTCAAGTGGAAGGAGCTGGCACTGGGGAGCCCCTGCCCAGAGATGGGAACAGTATTCCATGTGAGGCCGAACCTGCGCCTTGTAAAGTTGCAGGCGTTGAGCCGGCATGAAATACTGTCCCGCTCTGCTGAGCACGCCAAGCTTTTTAGAGGCCGATTTGGCCTTCTCTTCCAAGTGACCACGAAACTGCACGCTACTCGATATGTCGACGCCGAGGATTCCGATACTGGCTGAGGCAACAAGGGGAGTACCTTGAAACTGAGGAGATACGACAAAGGGGTTCTTTTTAGCGGTAAACGCGCAAACTTGTGTCTTCTGAGGATTAAACTGAACTAGATTTAGTCGCCCCCAATCCGAGACTTTGTCCAGCAAAGACTCGACTTCAGACACAAGTTTGTTCCGGTACTCAGTGACGTTTTCCCGAGAAATATTGGCACGGCCGGTGTATAGAGCATCACCAGTGCTGTCATCCGCATAGCAATGAATGCTACCGGCTTGCAACATATCATTGATATGCAGAAGAAACTGCGTTGGTGATAGCACGCAGCCTTGTGGAACACCAGCGTTAATAGGCTTGTAGTCGGAGCATGCACCGTCTACAACGACCTTGATGCTCCGATCTGCAAGAAAGCTGGTGATCCAATTGCATAATTTCTCGGGAAGCCCATAGGAAGGGAGCTTCGAAAGAAGCGCTTTGTGCCAAACCCGATCGAAGGCCTTCGCAATGTCCAAACTAACGGCCAATGCCTCCCCCTTGGACTCTACTGCCAACGCCCATCTATGAGTTAAGTAGACCAGAAGATCACCAGCTGATTAGTGACCGCCAGTACGGTTTTCGTCGGGGTCGATCAGCTGGTGATCCTCAAGGTACCGCATGAGGTGGCAGTTTACAACGGATTCCATTATTTTGGAGAACAAGGGGGTGATGGCGATAGGCCTGTAGTTGGACGGGTCTGAGCGGTCACCTTTTTTAGGGATCGGGTGGACAAAAGCTGTCTTCCATGATTTCGGGACTACGCCTAGGGAGTAGGAGTACCGGAAAAGACGCGTTAGAACCGGTGCCAACTCCGGAGCACACGTCCTCAGCACAATTGGGGGGATTCCGTCAGGCCCACTCGACTTGTGGATGTCAAGGGAGAGGTGTGCTCTGCGAACCGAGCGCTGTGAGAACCGCACATCTGGCATGGAGCACTCACACCGCTAGTGATGATGAATATGTTCCATCTTGATAAAAATATCATGTAATATTATCTAATTAAAATTAAAAACAGTTTTATAAATTTTAATTTGATGCTAATCCTTTTTCTGTCAATACGATTTTAATTTGATTGTTATAGTAATCGAAGATCAAGTATCGACTATAGCGGTACTTTACTAGTACTTGATTATTGACATCTGTCAAAAGGGACTTCGTAATTCGAATAGAGTATAATTCTGTAGTATGGAGTGTAGAGTAGAAGGAGAGCCATCTTATAAGGGGCGAATGTTGAAAAAGTGTTCTACTATTTACTGAAAATAGAGGTTCCAAAACCTACCACAATAGCGCTGGCGTCTGAAAAACTATGATATGAAGATAGCTTGTGAACGGAGTGAAGTCAGCTGAATTCTAATATTTAAAAAATTTCATGACTAGAGTAGTTAGTAAAATGCCAGTATATAAAATCTCAACTATTTACGTAGTACAAAACCAAGCGGATTGGTCGGTCCTTGTTTATTTCTCCATCTTATTCTAATTACTTTTGGCGCTTTTTTTATTTATCCTATGCTACTGCAGCATCATATACAGAGATGGTCCTCCTTCTACTCTACACTCCATATTCTGTAGGCATGCCCAGTCCATATACTTCTAAATCAGTGGTATAAACCGAAACCGGGCATGATCGTAAGTTTGACAAAGTTGGTGGTGGATAATGACGTTGCCCGAGTGGTTAAAATATATCGAAATTGATACGAACTCGATATTCTAAAATAAATATCGATATTGTCTCATCAAATATCGATATTTCGATATATTGTAAGGATGCCAAGGGAAAAATATATAGGTACATCTTTAAACAGTATCGATATATATCGCGTGGTAAATATCGATTTATTGGCATCATTTAATGATTGTAGTATAGGGCCCAAAATTTAATATTACTGAAGGTTGGACGATAAAAAAAAAACGACAACCACACATGAATGCTTTTGTAGCTCCTTTTGTTGTTTCATGTTTTGCACATTAATATAACGTTTTAAAATATATCGAAATTGATACGAATTCAACACTTCAAAATTAATATCGATATATCGTGGTTAAAAATACGACGATATGTATTGATATTTTTTGCCCAAGCCTAATATATTGATAATTTTTAGGCAGAATTAATCAGAATTCTATTTGTTTTGGAGTTTTGGCGGGATCTTGACCGGCGGCGGTTTGCTGCTCCTGTATTATTGTTTAAATAATGGTTTGAAGTGGACTTTGATATGTAAAAGTGGTGCGATTTTGTATATTAAGTGTCTACGCATGTGAACTATTAGTGGAAACAGTGAAACAAGTGCTCTGATGGTGATGGATTCTCAAGATAAGCTGTTTGTTTGCATAGGCGCCTTTAGATACCATCGCCAACTGTCAGCTGTCTGCAGGATCAAGTTGCCGTCAAAATCTCCCAAGAACTGCACAATGTGACGCATCAACATATCGTGAAGCAGTGAACTATGAAGGATAATTACAAAAGACAAGGCTGTATGGCATAGTTCCTTTGCCTGCTCTCTCGAGCGAATAATAAAAACAACAACATCTATTTGTTTTGAAAAAAGCGCGGGACCCTTGAAACGTGATAGGCGCCTTTTTTAAACTAAAATTTTAATTTTGTTTTATTTACTTAAAAGGCACTAAACTTTTATTGTTTATTGTTACTGGGTTTCCCCATCATGGGGAAACGTAGAAAAAAAAAGTTGCCGGGAGAAGAAGAAGTGTTTGAAGAAACGACTGAGGAGGAAGAAATTCATACCAGTACTGAGGAAGATCCTGAGAAAGAGCAGCGCAAGTATAAGCCGTACTTTGTATCTGACTACAACAGGAGGTACCCTGAGGACTCTATTCTCGTTGATTTTGTTGTATTTGTCGAATCAAATGATGAAAAAAGGCCAATCGGCACGCGGGACATGATGTCTCTGTCCACACATATGAAGAGGTTCAATAAAGGCATTAAATATTTGCAATCTATGAATAAATACAAAATAGGCGTTCATTTTGAAAAGCCCTCTCTAGCGAATGCATTTTTAAATAATATTACTTTTCTTAATGAATACAAAATGAAAGCATCTATCCCAGCTGTAGGAACAGAAATAACAGGAGTCATAACCAATGTTCCCACTAATCTTTCTAATTCAAGAATTTTTGGTATGTTAACGACTTATAGAATGATAATATGTGTTAAAAGGATAATGAGGAAACATAAGAATGATGCAGGACGCAGTTTGCTGCAGCCGATGGGCACCGTGGCCATCACATTTGCTTCTAATGTTTTGCCGGACCACGCCGATCTTCATGGTTGGCGGTTCGTGGTAAATCAGTATATTCCACCAGTGAAGCAGTGCTACAATTGTTTGAGGTATGGTCACTTAGCAAAGTATTGTAAAAATTCTGTGAAATGCTCAATTTGTACTGAAAATCACAGCTACAAAGATTGCAAAGTCTCTTCAGATAAAGCGATATGCATACATTGCAAAGGAAACCATCTAAGCATTTCCGGACAGTGTCCTGTTAAGAAACAAAAGATAAAAGAAAATCAGGCTAAATTACACAAAACCCCATTTGTAGACCTTTTTAATAAAAACGAATTCCCCGAATTAAACAAAAAAAAATCCCAAAGATGCTCTTATGTCACTGCTAAAGAATGATGACATTATTAATATAATTTTAAATACAGTCATTAAAGTATTAACTCTTAATAAATCAAATGAACAAACCACCATATCTTCTCAGCTTATTAAAGATGTTCTCATAGATACAATGAAACCAAAATAGATATTTCATTATTTAACATTTAATATTTTATGGATCAGTTTAACATTTTACAATGGAATGCACAGAGTTTAATTAAAAATCGCTTTCAATTTACACAATTTTTATATGAGAACACCATAGATGTTGCTCTCATATGTGAAACTTGGCTTAAACCTAGGCACAATTTTAGAGTAAAAGGATATAATATTATACGATTAGATTCAGGTAATGATCATAATGGAGTAGCAATACTTCTACATAACAAAATTGGATTTAGTGTTATCAATACATTCTCTGATGACTCATTACAAAATATAGCTGTACAAATACAATACAATGATAAATTATTAACTTTAGTTAGTGTTTACTGTCCCCCTAATTCATCAATTAATTATCATCATTCTCAAATGATAATGACAAGTCCACTGCTGAACATAGGCCTCCCCCAAAGAATGCCACAAAGCACGGTCCTGAGCCACCTGCATCCATCGACTTCCTGCATGTCTTACCAGGTCGTCACTCCATCTCGTGGGGGGACGCCCTACACTTCGCCTACCGGTACGAGGCTGCCACTCGAGAACCTTTCTTCCCCATCGGTTGTCGGTTCTTCGAGCTATATGGCCGGCCCACTGCCACTTCAGCTTACTAATTCGTTGGGCTATGTCGGTTATTCTGGTTCTACTGCGGATATCCTCATTCCTAAGTTTATCACGCAGAGAAACTCCGAGCATAGCCCTCTCCATAGCTCGCTGAGCAACCTTGAGCTTCCTCATACGGCCAGCAGTGAAGGACCACGTCTCAGTTCCGTAAGTCATCACTGGCAACACGCACTGGTTGTACAATTTCGTTTTAAGGTTTTGAGGTATGTCTGACGAGAAGATGTGTCGTAGCTTCCCGAACGCTGCCCAGCCGAGTTGAATCCGTCGATTGACCTCTCGGTCGAAGTTGGACTTACCTAGTCGGACTATTTGTCCCAGGTAAACATACTCGTCAACAACTTCGAGCTTAGTGCTCCCAACAACTACCGGCATAGGTGTGACATGGACATTAAACATAATCTTTCTTTTGTCCATGTTCATCTTAAGACCTATCCGTTGGGAAACACTATTGAGGTCATTGAGCATAGTGCTTAGGCCCTCCAGCGATTCTGCCATAAGGACTATATCGTCGGCAAATCGAAGGTGAGTGATGTACTCGCCATTGATGTTGATACCGTACCCTCTCCAGTCCAGAAGCTTGAAAACGTCTTCCAATGCAGCGGTGAAGAGTTTCGGGGATATGACGTCACCCTGTCTTACACCTCTCTGCAATTGGATAGGTTTCATACTCTGGTTCTGTACTCGGATAGCCATCGTAGCCCTACTGTACAAGCACTTCAACACTTCGATATACCGACAGTCAACTTGGCACCGCTGAAGGGACTGCAGCACCGCCCAAATTTCGACGGAATCAAAGGCTTTCTCATAGTCCACATACGCCAGACATAGTGGCAAATTGTACTCTTCGGACTTCTGTACAACTTGCCGAAGGGTATGTATGTGATCTATGGTGCTAAAGCCCTTTCGGAAACCGGCTTGTTCGGGAGGCTGGAAGTCGTCAAGTCTGCGCGCGAGACGATTCGTAATGACTCTCGAAAACAGCACGTAGACGCGGCTCAGAAGGGAAATCGGTCTGTAGTTCTTCAAGAGAGCGTTGTCACCTTTCTTGAAGAACAAGACCACCGCACTTCTGCTCCACGCCTCCGGTGTAATGCCACCATGGAGGACGGAATTAAAGAGCTTCTGAAGGACTTCAAGTACCGGTCTTCCACCCGCTTTCAGAAGCTCCGCTGTAATTCCATCCTCGCCTGGGGCCTTACCGTTTTTAAGGTGCTGGAGAGCCATTCTAATCTCGCTCAGACTGACGTCCGGGATATCTTCGGAATAGTGTCGGATGAGACTCGCTCTTGGATCGTTACTCACACTTGCGTGTGGCTCCAATGATGACGTGTACAGCTGCCCATAGAACCTCTCAATCTCACTCAAAATCTCAGGTGTCCCGGAAACGATGCTGCCACATTCTGTCTTCAGCTTTGACAGTTGGCTCTTTCTGGCATACAGATCTCTGGCAAAGACTTTGGAGCCTTGGTTCCGCTCGATCGCTTCTTCAATACGAGCTGTATTGAAGTTGCGTAAGTTCCGCCGCATGCATTTTGAGATCTGTCTGTTCAGATGCCTGTATGCTGTCAAGTCTGTTGAAGAATGTAGCTTCATCTCCCGTCTAACAGCCATGAGATTAAGAGTGTGATCGGAGAGTTTTTGTGTTCTTCTGCGGCGGGTCTTGCAGAACTTAGCTCCGACCGCATGGACAGTTTCCACGAGCTTGTCATTCATATCGTCCACTTCATTGCAGTCTTCTAGGCACTGAAAACGGTTTTGTAACTCGAGCTGAAAGGTTTCGAGACTTTGGATTAGAGCACGAGGGGGACGGAGCGTTGACTTCATTAGACTAGACCTCTCCAACTTAACGTTTAGGTTCAGTGTGCCTCTAACCATTCGGTGATCGCTACCAGTTTTCACCCTTGCGATCACGGAGACATCACTGAACAGTTGTCGTCTGGTCGTCATAATGAAGTCAATCTCATTTTTTGTCGAACCGTCGGGGCTCGACCAGGTCCACTTCCAATTAATTATAATAAATCCAAATTAGATAATTTAATCCAAAGTTTGCCACAGCCAGTCTTTATAGCTGGTGATTTCAACGCCCATCATACGTTATGGGGATGTACTAAATTAGATTCACGAGGTAGGGACATTCTTGCAAGTATAGATGACAACAATCTTGTAATTTTGAATGATGGTCAGATGACTAGAGTAGGATCTCATAGATGGAGGCAGAATGCATTAGACTTGACACTTGTTTCATCTTCACTGGCTCTGTCTTGTGAGTGGCAAGTATGTGATGATGATTCTCTAGGCAGCTATCATTTTCCTGTAAAGACAAACATTACGGTTAATAGTCAAAATTTTCAAGAAACAGCTGTATCAAATAACATAAACTTAAAATTGGTAGATTGGTCAAAATATACAAATTTAATAGATAATTTAATTAAAAATTATAGTTTTGATTATAGTAATCCTTTACAATGTTATACAGACTTAATAGAACTAGTTAAACAAGCCATGCATGAATCCACACCATCCAATCAGTTTTCTAATCGAAATGTTAACATCAACTTGCAATCTTCTAAAAGAATTAGAAAGAAAAATTCTCTACCTTGGTGGAATTTAAAATGCAAACAGGCAGTATTAAATTGTAAAAATGCATATTTAGTATTTAAGAATGATCCCACAGAACGAAATTATATTAATTTTAAAAGACTACAAGCTGCTAAAAAAATTACTTTGGAGACTGAAAGACATCTTAGCTGGAAAAAACTATGTGAAACTTTTAATAGATCTACTCCATTGACTAGAGTATGGAACTACATTAAAAAGTTTAACAAAACTTTTATTCATAATAACACATCTGTCATAGATTCTAATTGGGCTAATGAATTTTTGAAAAAATATACACCAGAAACAGATGAATCACCTCTAACCCCTAACTCCTCAAATGATAATCATTGTGATTATCTTACCAAACCTTTTACCTTGACCGAATTCAACTCAGCTGTTAACTCTAGAAAAGACACTACTTGTGGTTTAGATTCTGTTCCATATAAAGCTTTAAAAAATATGAATACTGTGTGTAGAGAACTAGTTTTGAAAATATATAATATGTTATGGTTTCATTCACTTATTCCTAACGATTGGAAAGAAGATTTAATAAAGAAGTTTGATACCCATTTTAAAGCCTGGAAAAAAACCTCACATTGCAGAATCTTACAGACCTATAGCACTTACATCTTGTATGGGTAAAATATTTGAGCAACTTATAAAATCTAGATTAGAATTTTATCTAGAAAAAAATTGTCTTTTACCATCAAATCAGTTTGGATTCAGACGCCGTAAGTCATCTAGAGAAAGTATTGCATTTCTACATTTAGACATTTTTAAAGCTATGAAAAATAATGAAATATTAATTAGTATATTCTTTGACATTGTTGGTGCATTTAATAACGTCAATCTTCATGTACTTGCCGCAGAGTTGAGGTCTTTGGCCATTCCTGAAAAAATTGTAAAATGGATATTTAACTTTTTACATGAAAGAAGAGTTTTTGCCAAAGTTAATAATAATAATACAATTATTGGTCCTAGGCTCAGTTATAAAGGTGTTTGTCAAGGAGGAATATTAAGTCCTCTTATCTTTATTTTATACATATTTAAATTAAACAATATTTTAGGATCAAATGTTACTAATTTACAATATGCAGATGATTTGGTCATATACGCCTCAGGAGCAAATGTCAAAAACTTGGTAACCATTTTAAATGAGGCTTTAAAGAAATTGCACACTTACTTTTCATACTTAAATTTTGATATTAGTACTGAGAAAAGTAAAGTTGTAATATTTAATAAAATTCGTCCATTTAACACTAGAATAATTTATAATAATACATTTTTACCAATAGAAAGTTGTGCTAAATTCTTAGGTGTAAGATAAGTTAGTTTTTACAAATAATTTATCTTGGACCAAATACGTGAATTCTATTACAGACAGAGCTTCTAAGGCCTTTAATGTATTAAAAGCTTTGGCTAGTACTAACTGGGGAGCTGATCCAGAAATATTATTAATGTTATATAAGTCTTTGGTAAGAAGCCATTTTGAGTATGGCTTCCTTTGTTTTGCATCAAATAAAAAACTAGTAAACAAATTAGATAATATACAAAATAAGAATTTAAGACTTATTACCGGCTCTATGAGAACAACTCCTATTGTTTCTTTACAGGCTGAATGTCTTACTCCTCCTATATTACTTAGGTTTAAATATCTGAAATTTAGGTTTTTATTAAATATCAATTCTTTGTCACATCATCCTCTTTTTCAAAAAGTATTATTTTACTATAATAGTATGTCTTCTATATCTAACTCAGCCCCATATATACTTCATGACTTTCATGAAGTGATACGATATGATGAACAATATAATATTCACAAAAGCACACATACATGGCCTTGTTATAAGGGGAATTATGAAAGCAAATTCAGTGATATACACATAAATATTGATAAAAAATTGAAAAGAAAAGAAGAGGTTTATGAACTTATATCTACATATGATGAATATCGACAAATTTACACAGATGGTTCAAAAGGTTCAAAAGTTGAAAATAAAGTAACCTGTGCATTTTACATACCTCATCTGAAAACTGGATGTGGCCTTTCCATTCCCGCATCAGCAAGCATATACACTGCAGAATGTTATGCTGTCTTAATTGCTCTTAAATATATAGAAGAACACCCACATATATCTAATAAATGGTTACTGATCTCTGATAGCATAAGTGTCTTGAAGGCACTGAAGGCAAGAGCTTTAGATGCTAAAACATCTTTCATCATATATGAAATCAAAAGTTTGTGGTGGAAATTGAAAGAAAATAATTTGGAAGTAAAATTTTTATGGACTCCGTCACATATTGGGGTTCAAGGAAATGAAAGAGCAGACCATTTAGCTAAAAGTATAGTTAGTTAGTTACAGCTGATATTGAAAGGATAACCGATGTTGCAATACCACATACAGATTTATATTCAATTTTAAAGAAACAGTTAAAAGAAGAATGGAAAATGCAATGGAATGTTGTTTTAGAGGCAGGAAAAGGTCGTTGGTATGCATCAATTAATTCAGAATTAAGTATTCCTTGGTTTTCTCGCAACGAGAGATATCATAACAGAAAATATTATACAATAATGTGCAGACTTAGATTTGGCCACTATCGACTGAACGCTCATCTTTCCAGGATGAGAATAGTAACATCTGCAACATGCAATTTCTGCAATACAGAAGCAGATCAGACTGCAGAACATATAATATTTAACTGCCCAGCGTACGCCATTGATAGATTGCTACTCATTGAAAAACTTATGCAAGTTTATGAAAACTCAGAAAGCGTCCCGCGTGCCCTGCAAGATGTTCTTAGGAATACTAAGACATATTTAGCACTTTGCAATTTTATTCATAATACTGTAAAAGAAATATGAAATATGGTATCCCTGTTCTTGAAAATATTGTATTGACAAATCTACACGGATTGAAACCTACAAATAATATAATATAAAGAAGACTTGGCTTTAGCCTTTACGGGTTTCTGAAAATATGAAGAATTAAAGAAAAGACTTGACTTCGGCCTTTATGGATTTTGAAGAGATAGAAAGAAGAAAAATAAGACTTGGTTCCGGCCTTTACACTTTAAAATTTTATATATTCAAAATAAAAAAGACAAGGCTGTATGGCTTAGTTCCTTTGCCTGCTCTCTCGAGCAAATAATAAAAACAAGGTCCGTGACCAATCTTGCTACATATATATTTATCTATGTGACCAATATCAAAAATTTCAAGAGAAGCCATAATATTCTATTAAGAGAAAGTGCCATAAATTCTAAAAAGAAGAGGAACCACCAATCACCCCTTTAGGGTTATATGTGTTCTGTGATACCAATATATTAAAGCTAGAAACAAATGGCCTTTAGTGAAATTTGTAGAATTTGTTTAAGCGTTAATGTACACATGTTTATACTTAAGGAGACTGTCCTCCGAAATGTATATAAAACGTTGACGAACAGTTTTGTAAGTGTTAATATTTTTAAATATTGCAAATTGAAGTATGGGTCGGTAATTTGTTGTTATTGCTGGAGGGCTGGAGCACAAACCAATAAGTTGCTGAAGAAATACTGAGTGTCTGCTCGGTCATTTTAAAGATCACTCCGTACTAGTTCATTACGGACAGTGAACTAGTTCATTCTATTCGTTCATCAGTACCACTAAGCAGTTTAAAGTTTAAACTGTATCTATCCGTAAAATTTGTATGGAATAGCTATCTGAGTCAGTGAGACTCAGTCTCAGTCGTTCGATATTTGCTCGAATCGTAATGTTGTATTATCACTCATACACACACACTTGATAATTTCTTGGTCAAAATGGAAGTCTAATTCAAATTAGTGTTGAAAAAATAATTAATGTTAATGAAATAAAATCCCATATCCATAACATGTGAAAATAAAAAGCATTCAAGGATGCAATTACTATTAAAACAATAAAAAAAAACAAAAAAAACTCCTCAAGAATTGTTATAACATAAAAGTAAAAGTAAAGTGCTGACTGCTGGGCACAGGCTTCCTCTCATTTCTGAGAAGGTTTTAGGGCAAGGAAATGTCCGCCGCACTGCCCCCATGCGTGTTGGCGAACTTCACATGCCTTTGAAATGTTTTTTAAAATAAATGTTTTTTTTTTTGTTATTTCTCAGACATGCGGGTTTCCTCACAATGTTTTCCTTCACCGCCAAGCATGTGGTAAATCAGCACTTAAAATTGCAATTAACAATTTCATTGGTGCTGGCGGGGATTGAACCCAGGTTGCTAGAGTACTGTGAAGCTTACAGCGAGCTCTAACCATCTGAGCTACCACGGCTCTGTTATAACATAACTATTACATATTTACGCTATTACAAGTGCCAAAACGAAGTCTATCAAACGTTTGTATCTATTTACTAAGTATAATAAATAAAATAAAATGCAAACACAGAGAGTCTAGCATCTATTCAGATAAGCTAAATTAGATGTTATTGCATTGATATACCTAACATGTATCTTTCTATAACATCTCATTTTAACAGATTTGATCAATGGTATCATTATAGCCGTTCATCGGCTCTTGTCCCAATGATATACTCAACTCACTGACTCTCTCTATCGCACGCGCGGTCTGCTGTATTGCGAGTTTAGGTGTATAAAAAGAGCTGTTAGACTTATTAACAATCAGCGTTCGGAAACGTTTCTCTTAGTACAATGCTAAGACACATTTCCTATTCGTTCAGCGTTCACGAACTACACAAGACTAATTATAACTTGCTTGATATAAAATGTGATAGATCGAGGCTAAGCTAAGGTGCAGTGTTAAATATAGTGACAAATACAATCAGAACCTGAAAAACAACAACTAGCCTGGAATCCTGGGTTGCACTAAAATCAGTATTATCATTAAAGTAATATGCACTGCGTACTATAAGAGGTCAAGATTCAGGGAGGCTCCTACTTACTTGACACTCATAACATTCACAATATTAACAATTAGGAATTTGTGTCCTTATAGCATACAGAACTATCAACAGATCGGGAAACATAATTCTTGAGTGGTAGCCTCATTGGTAAGCAAATTGTAGAGAGGCCCCTACTAGATACTGACAATCTGGTATGTTAGGAAGTCAATGGATGTGCAGTGATGATGATCCACTAGGTGGTAGGATTTTTTCTGCCTAGAAGTCTGTCTGGGTAGTTATCATCCTCTTATCTACTTCTGCCACCAAGCAGCAGTATGTGTATCTGAAGGACATTGAGAGCCAATATAACAACAGGCTGTGAAGCATTACATCTTAGTCCTCAAAGGTAGCATCACATCTGTAGCCTTTGCTTGAAGTTTGTTGCAGGTGTCCATGGGCTGCAGCCATCAGGTGGATTGTAAGTTTATTTGTCACTTCAATGTTATAAAAAAATTATGTTGATGAAGAGAATTGTGGTAGCTAATAGATTTTATTACAAACTTGTATATTTGAGTACTTTTCCATATTTATGACGAACTTTCATATTTTCAGGTGGATGAGGATGAGGGGCCCATAATTGTCTGTTTCATCTGTCATGCAAGACTCATTCGTTGCAGAAGATTACAACAACAGGCTATTGAGTCAAATGCAGTTCTGGAGCAGTTGCTAGCAGGAGGGTCCATGGTATTATCCATTCCATTCATTAAAACCTATAAAAGTCTACTGCTGAACATAGGCCTTCTTCATAGATTGCTTGATAGGAGGGATTTTGCCAAATTTTCTAGCTCGGCAAGTGGGCAACTGTAGTTTATAATAGTCAGAGTTGTTATCAGGAAGATGCTGCTGCCCTACTCCTGTTTCTGTTTCCCTTTGTCGCCTCTCATTCTGTGTATATAGAGTAGTGGATATTTTTACATCGCCACTACACGGTCCACAGTATTATACTTCTTATAATAAAAGTCCACGACTTGATAGGTCATTCCCATTATAATGAAGTATTTGCCTTAATAATCACTTGGCAGGCACCTTGACAATCACTACTCTACCTTGACATTCCCAGAATGTTGCCCACAAGTAGTTAATTGTATAATTTCTCTTAAACACAATCATAAAAATTGTATACACCTGGTGCATCAAAATATGCAAGGCATGTTAGGCAAAGAATTAGAAATTTAATTGTTTTTCAATAGTAACAACATACAAATTTTCTGTATAACTGAACATTGGTTAAAATACTTTAAATTGGCTAAAAACTATAATATGTTTAATTTCAGTAAACACCAGGTGGTCAGTTGCTATAACAGAGAAAAAAATTACATGGTGGCTCCTTAATATTGGCTAATAAATTATTAATAAGTAAACAATGTAAGGATATTGTGAGCCTCTCTGTTAGCGAACTGTAGAAATGGCATGTGTTGAGTTCAAACACTACATTGTTGTCAGTGTTTACAGATCGCCATTCTATGTAGACGATTGATTGTTTTGAAAATATAATGGAGGAAGTTTTGCTTAAACTTAATAACCAGAACAAATCTGTTGTCATATGTGGAGACTTTAATATTAATCTCCTTGAAGCTTCTTCCATAAGTATTAAGTTTAAATAATTGCTCAAATCATTACAACCTTGTTAATTTGTTTTTTGAGCCAACACATATTGCAGGGCCTAGTGCAACTTATATAGATAATATTTTTACTTATGTTGAGCCCTTACATAAATTAATTATTCAAAATTTAAGTTCTGATCACTGTGGACAGTTAGTCTCACTACCTTACATGCACAAAAAACAGAAAGTTAAGAAAGTTGTGCTTGTTCCAATAAATGAACATCGCTTAGGGAGATTTAAAGGTAGTAGAGTGAAAAAGCTGCCTTTTCTTTCATCTATAAACAATACTAACTATTTATATGGATCATTATTTAAACTAATAAGTCTTGAATTTAATAAAACATTTACTTTTAAAACACTCTTTAAACAGTCGCAAATCGTTTAATAGGTGGGCGACAGTAGGAATCCATAGGAGTAGACAATAGTTACTATTTATATGAATCATTATTTAAACTAATAAGTCTTGAATTTAATATAACATTTATAGTTAAAAGTAATGAATATATTAACTTTGGTCTCTCAATATATTTACGAGAATTTAATGTATGTACCATCCATACCATCTGGATGATTGGCAGTCCACCACTGTGCGATTTAAAAGAAGTTTTCTCCCTCGCACAACTTCCTTGTGGAATCGATTACCACCAGCGATTTTTCCGGACCGATACGACTTAGGGGCCTTTAAGAAAATAGCCTACTCCTTTTTAAAAGGCCGGCAACGCGTCTGCAATTCCCCTGGTGTTGCAGTTGTTCATAGGCGGCGGTAGTCACTTATCATCAGGTGAGCCGCATGCTCGTTTGCCCCCTCTCCTATATAAAAAAAACATATAGCTGACTGAAGATGCTGCTGGTCATCATCTGTTTCAGTTTCCCTGTCCCTTATTACGATATCTGTGGCATGGTATGGATTATCCCACGCCACCACAACACTGGCTTTTTCACTTATTTAAAATAATGGTTTCAGTCAGTACCAAAACCGCAAGAGGCTAAAGATAAGATTCAATTCTCACCAATTTGCCATGTAGATATCAGGCCAGTAGAATGTGATACAGAAATTGATTGTAAGGATGAAATTTTTAGGCTTGAATCTATTAAAATTGAGGAAGAGAATTTCGAAAATGGGAATTCCAAATTTGAAGAAAATGAGAAGTATGAACTAGGTAAGCCCCTTTATATACCCCTTTTTTGATATTATTAAAATAAGGTAAAGTTAGTTTAATGTCTAGAGGTTACTGTAGCCCAAACAAAATAAAGAGGGATTCATGTGCAATGTACTGATTTGCCTTTGCCTAAATTTCAAGTGCATGTTAAAATCACTTTTATGGAGAAAGAAAATTACAAATCATATAATTATTTTAAAGATAAGCCTGTATGGACGTCATAACGAGCTTCTTTAGACATTTTTTTTTACTAATGTATTAATAAGAAATATTAATTTCATAGGATATAATGATATACATATTTACAACTAATAAGTAACCACCTATCTTTGCCAATTTCTTATTGTCATTACTAGGTGGCGGGACTCCATTTTTGCCTATGAGCCGAACTAGGTGTACTTACTCACATGGACTCCTCCCTCCTCCTCTCACCTAATTTCTGCCGTTGAATAGCAGTGCATATTCCAGTCTGAAGGGTATTATCATCATCATTACAGCCTTTCATAAGTCCACTGCTGAACATAGGCCTCCCCCAAGAAATGCCACAAAGCACGGTCCTGAGCCACCTGCATCCATCGACTTCCTGCATGTCTTACCAGGTCGTCACTCCATCTCGTGGGGGGTCGCCCTACACTTCGCCTACCGGTACGAGGCTGCCACTCAAGAACCTTTCTTCCCCATCGGTTATCGGTTCTTCGAGCTATATGGCCGACCCACTGCTACTTCAGCTTAATAATCCGTTGGGGTATGTCGGTCACTCTGGTTCTACTGCGGATATCCTCATTTCTAAGTTTATCACGCAGAGAAACTCCGAGCATAGCCCTCTCCATAGCTCGCTGAGCGACCTTGAGCTTCCTCATATGGCCAGCAGTGAAGGACCACGTCTCAGATCTGTAAGTCATCACTGGCAACACGCACTGGTTGTATAATTTTGTTTTAAGGTTTTGAGGAATGTCTGACGAGAAAATGTGTCGTAGTTTCCTGAACGCTGCCCAGCCGAGTTGAATCCGTCGATTGACCTCTCGGTCGAAGTTGGACTTACTTACTTGAATAGCAGTGCGTATTCTAGTCTGAAGGGTAGATGTGGTATATTCCATCTTAGTCGTCAGAGATGACAGCACATTGTAGCCTTTTATGTTTGAAGTTAGCTGCAAGCAGTCCATGGACTACACTACCCATCTACCATCAGGTGGATCAGTTACATACCATAAGGTGGACTGATAGTTTGTTTGTCACTTCATACAAAAAATATGAAGAAAAGGCGCTGAAGGCATCCTTGTACTGGCAAGCACTTACCTACTAAAAACAACTTGTGGCAGAACACTCACTAAATGAGGTGAATGAATCATCATCATCATTACAGCCCTTCACAAGTCCCCTACTAAACATATGCCTCCCCAAGGATTGCCACAAAGCACGGGCTTTATCCACCTGCATCCATCGACTTACTGCATGTTTTACCAGATCCTCACTCGGCTTATTACTCTTAGCTTATGAAACATGCAGCATTGTAATGAATGTGGTTAGTTCAGTCTCATAAGGTGTGATGAACTAATTATCTAGTTACTTGGAAAAAATATCAGCTTTTATTTTATATATTGCGACAGAATCTGTTTCATTCCAGAGACTGCTGAAAAAGCAGAAGAATTGGAGATTGATGCTTTTGGAGATAGACATATGGATTCAAAGAATGACTTGCCACTAATTGCATTTGGTTCAAAACGTAAAGAGAAATTGAAGACTGTAGAACTAAAAAAAAACCGCAGAAATAATAAAAAAGGTGATGATAACATAGGTAAAATAATTTATTTTAAAATACCTGTATCAAGTAATAAATAAAATCACATTAAAAATTTCTCTTGGATCATGTAGTTGGGGATGTACTTCACATACAAAATTTTGTTTTTTAATTACACATGAGCAATATTAGAACCAAAATTATTATTTGTAGGTCATACAATTATCTTGTTTAAAGTTAGGTGGCAACCGAACTTCCACCGGAAACTCTTAGCACCCCCTGAACCGCCGTTACCATTGTCGCCACCGTAGCGAGGAATAGCGGGGCCGCCGGGGACTGGGGGCCTTCTCTTCATAACTTTTATCATGGGGGTATATTGCCATAGTTGCCACGCTTGGCGAGCGGGTTGGCAACCATAGTATTTTTATTGTTATCTTGCTGTTATCAGATAGATTCTTCTGCCCATTTTCTGCCTCAGTTTCCCTCTGTCGCCTCTTACGACACCCACGGGAAGATATGGAGTAGTGGGTATTCTTACGCGCCACTACACAGGGTAGTATATTAATAATTCAAAATAAATATTGTGAAACTAATACAAGTGTTTTCCTCCGAAAATGAATATGGGAGACATTATTCAGAGTAATTGGCTAAAATACTTTATATCTAGCAACAATATTTAGTATAATTAAGTATGTAAAATACTATTATTACTCTATTTCTCTTTTGGTTAAATGATATAGAATTCCATAATGCATAAACTCAGCTCATTGTAAACAGTTTATGGTGTCTTACAATAAAAATGCAATGTCATACAATAAATAAACTGTCTGATTCGTGATTTCAGAACAATACATCACACCGACAAATAATTATTCTGAATCGTCTGAGAAAAAGATTAAATCAAAATGTGATAGTAACATAAACGACGTATGTAAAGAAAACCTCGATTCTGAAAGCCCTACTATTAAATCAAACCCTAAAGTGAAAAAAGGTTATCAACCAATTAATAAAAAAGGAAAGCATCCTGCAAAGATTATAAAAAAGAAAATTGTGAAACAAAAGAGTGTAAATATACTTACGAAAAAAACATCAGGGGCAACAACAAAATACATCTTTGAATGTGATGGTTGTAATAAAATATTTTCAACAAAAGACATTCTCGCCAAACACATATCATACAGTCATAAGACAAAAAATAACTCTGACACTACTGCATTTCGGACACAAGTTGAACAAACTCCAGTACCACAATTAAAGGAAATATTTAATTGTGATATTTGCAAATTTAAAACATTTCAAAAACGTCGTATTTTGGCTCATTTTAAAGTTCACGTTGCTAAACAAGTGTACTTTTGTAATAATTGTGATTATAAATGTACAAAAAAAATAAATTTGCAATACCATATGAAAATACACACTGGAGAAAAACCTTTTTCGTGTAATATCTGTGAATATAAATGCATTAAAAAAGGTACTTTGCAAAGACATATGAAAATACATACTGGAGAAAAACCTTTTTCGTGTAATATCTGTGAATATAAATGTATAACAAAAAGTAATTTGCAATTCCATATTATTAGAAAACACACCGGAGAAAAACCTTTTTCGTGTAATATCTGTGAATATAAGTGTTTTTCAAAAAGTAATTTGAAAACACATATTATGAAAATGCACACCGGTGAAAAACCTTTTTCGTGTAATATCTGTGAATTTAGATGTACTTTAAAAAGTAGTTTACCAAGTCATATGAAAATACACACCGGAGAAAAACCTTTTTCGTGTAATATCTGTGAATATAAATCTATTACGAAAGGTAGTTTGAAATACCATATTATTAAAAAACACACCGGTGAAAAACCTTTTTCGTGTCATATCTGTGAATATAAATGTATACGAAAAAATGATTTGAAAACACACATTTTAATTCACACCGGTGAAAAGCCCTTTTCGTGTAATATCTGTGAATATAAATGTATGCGAAAAAGTGGTTTGAGAAGACACATAAAAATACACACTGGAGAAAAACCTCTTTCGTGTAATATCTGTGAATTTAGATGTAATACAAAAAGTAATTTGCAAAGACATATAAAAATACACACCGGAGAAAAACCTTATTCCTGTCATATCTGTGAATTTAGATGTATTACAAAAACTAATTTGCAAACACATATAAAAATACACACAGGAGAAAAACCCTTTTTGTGTAATATCTGTGAATATAAATGCTCACGAAAAACTGTTTTGATAAGACACAAAAATACACACCGGTGAAAAACCTTTTTCGTGTAATATCTGTGAATTTAGATGTAATACAATAAGAAGTTTGCAAAAGCATATGAAAATACACACTGGAGCAAAACCTTTTTTGTGAGAGTTCTGGTAAAATATGTACATATTAAGTAAATATATTATATATATCTTGGAGATTCAACAGGAGATCCCACTTTCTAATCCAATTCCGTTTAAGGCCCGCCACATACATACGCATAGCCGCTCCGACATATAAATATAAAAGTGTTTCAGATAAAAATCCATTTCTTATGAATTTTTTAAGAATTTATAGAACAAGTAAGAAAATTTTTCCGTGCTATATATTACACCCCGTTACCGTTAAAGCCTTCAAAAGTCCACTGCTAATCATAGATAGATTTGCTATAATTGCAATGCTTCGAATGTGGTTTGCTACGGAAGTTTTATATAATTTTGACTGTTATCGGGAAAAAGCTTGCTGCCCATCTTCTGTATCAGTTTCCCCCTGTCGCCTCTTACGATACCCACGAGATGATATGGCCCAGTGGATTTTCTTACACCGCCACTACATGGTTAATTAAATTGTTCGCGACGATAAAAAATGTTTAAAAACATAGTAATTAAAAAGCATATTAAAAGTTTTTTTTTGTTTTTTTATAGGATAAGGGTGGCAAACAAGCACACAGTCCTCCTGATGGTAAGTGGTTGCTGCGGCCCATAGACATCTACATCTATCCTCGTTAGCGAATCAAAATGCAGATGCGTTGTCACCCGTGAGGACTAAGATGGAATGCCTCATTTCCAGTAAAAAGGGCCTCCGGCCTCCTGCACTCACCAAGCGAAACGCTGAGGTAAACCTCTACTTCACGCTGGTATTCTGTGAAGTCGTGGTACCACCCCGGTTCGAGCCGGCCCATCCGTGCGACAGTTAAAGCTGCCGCGTGGCTCTACCACTGTTATAGTGTAATTAGGAAAAGTATTAGTGACAAACCTAAGTGAAAGGTGCAATAGTGTAATTTTACAACATGTTTACAACACTTAGTATTGTAGTATAAAGCATCGTTTTGTAATAGTTAAGAAAATAACCCTTATTTGTACCACACAAAGTCGGCCAATCAGAGCGCGAACGTTGTAGAACAATAGGGCATTGCGTATTGGGCGCACTATCAAATTACATAAATGACCGATATCATATCGGTACTAAAGCTTACTTACTTACGTATCTTCACGCACAATCCCTGACGGGGTAACCAGAGAGAACAGATCGCCAAGTGTCACGATCCTTACAAACCTCTTTCGCTTCTTTCAGATTCATTATCTTCTTCATGCATGCACGTCTAGGTATCCGAGTACTCTTGACCCTACCCTCTTCGAGCAATTTGCTCACATGGTCTTCGAAAGTTAGTCTCGGTCTACCTCGACACCTTTTAATATTAACTTTCGCGCTATATATTTTCTTCACCATTCGGTCTTCACTCATTCGCTCAACGTGCCCAAACCACCGAAGCACGCCCTTATCAATTTTTGTGATAAGGTCATCTTTCAAACCTGCCATATTGCGAATCTCTTCGTTTCGCTTTCGATCGGCCATGGTAATATATATGGTAAATGTCTGGACATTGCGAAGGCCTTCGATCGGGTTTGGCACAAAGCGCTTCTTTCGAAGCTCCCTTCCTATGGGCTTCCCGAGAAATTGTGCAATTGGATCACCAGCTTCCTTGCAGATCGGAGCATCAAGGTCGTTGTAGACGGTGCATGTTCTGACTACAAGCCTATTAACGCTGGTGTTCCACAAGGCTGTGTGCTATCACCAACGCTGTTTCTTCTGCATATCAATGATATGTTGCTAACTGGTAACATTCATTGCTATGCGGATGACAGCACTGGTGATGCTCTATACAAATATGCCGGGCCAATATTTCTCTGGAAAACGTCGCCGAGTACCGGAACAAACTTGTGTCTGAAGTCGAGTCTTTGCTGGACAAAGTCTCGGATTGGGGGCGACTAAATCTAGTCCAGTTTAATCCTCAGAAGACACAAGTTTGCACGTTTACCGCTAAAATGAACCCCTTTGTCGTATCTCCTCAGTTTCAAGGCACTCCCCTTCTTGCCTCAGCCAGTATCGGTATCCTCGGAGTCGACATATCGAGTGACGTGCAGTTTCGTGGTCACTTGGAAGAGAAGGCCAAATTGGCCTCTAAAAAGCTTGGCGTGCTCAGCAGAGCGGGACAGTATCTCATGCCGGCACACCGCCTGCAACTTTACAAGGCGCAGGTTCGGCCTCACATGGAATACTGTTCCCATCTCTGGGCAGGGGCTCCCCAGTGCCAGCTCCTTCCACTTGACCGCATCCAGCGCAGAGCGGCTCGAATCGTCGACGACCGAGCCCTTTCCGATCGGCTCGATTCATTGGCACTGCGAAGAGATGTTGCATCTCTTTGCATTTTCTTTCGCATCTACCATGGGGAGTGCTCTGAGGAATTGTTCGGATTAATCCCAGCCGCCAAATTTCATGAACGCACATCGCGGCAGAACTCCCGATACCATCCACACCATCTGGATGATTGGCGGTCCACCACTGTGCGATTTAGAAGATGTTTTCTTCCTCGCACGACTTCCTTGTGGAATCGATTACCATCAGCGATTTTTCCGGACCGATATGACTTAGGGACCTTCAAGAAAAGAGCCTACTCCTTTTTAAAAGGCCGGCAACGCATCTGCAATTCCCCTGGTGTTGCGGTTGTTCATGGGCGGCGGTAGTCACTTACCATCAGGTGAGCCGCATGCTCGTTTGCCCCCTATCCCATAAAAAAAAAAAAAAAAAAAAAAAAAAACGCCGCACATTTTACGAAGAGATCGCATCTCCACTGCATTCAACTTACTTTTATGCTTCTTCTGGCATACCCAGGTTTCGCTGCCATATAACAAAGTCGGTACCAACACTGCGTTATGTATTGCAAGGCGTGCACTCTTCGCTACGCCTTGCCTTTTGACTAACGCAGTCAGGGCACCATTGACTTTGTTCCCGGCAGCGACACGCCTGTCCACATCTAAATCACATCTTCCATCCCGGCTAAAAGCACTCCCCAAGTATACAATTTCATTTACCTGTTCTAGACATTCCTGATTTACCCATATTTCACACTTCGTTCTCTCTTCGTCCCTTTCAAATACCAGAACCTTAGTTTTATTAGCATTCAAACGGAGACCTTTAATTTCACATTCCTCTTTCATACACGTGACTAATGCCTGCAGTTCTGCCTCTGATGGTGCAATAAGCACTGCATCATCAGCATACAGCAGACAATTTACTTTTATGTCACCCAATTTCACACCCAAACAGCTATCTTTCAGCTTCTGTAAACAGCTGTCGAGATACAGTATGAACATGATACAGTACTAAAGCTCAGCTAAATAAACTGTAATGTTCAGCTTAAACTTACAAATACTTAATAAATTTGTTTTAAACCCCATATTTATTGATCCGCATAGTAAATACATTTCTTGAATGCAACTTTCCTAAGTTTGACACATATTTATATTATTCTATAGTAAGACTTAATTTATACCTATGAAAATAGGTATAAATTATTAGTTAAAAACCATTTGAAAACTTAATTTATGCGAGCGCGTTTGAAACAAATAATATTATATTTAAAAAACACGTTCCACTTTTATTTTTGGTATTTTTCTCAGCAAACCCTTTCATTTGATACCTATAGCATGGGAATGCATAAAATATAAATAGTCTTCCATCTTTAGGAGTCCACCATATTGGTTTTAGAATGACGTCATTTATCTAACCATGCATTGTCATCCAAACTAAACGTGTATGCAAAATTTCAGCTCAATCCAAAACCGAGAAATTGGTCAAATTTTACGTATTAATTACGTCGTAATTTTTTTTTACATAATTACAGGTGAGGATATTAGCGTGCTAGAAATTACTATTACTAAGATGGATTAATGAACACTGATATTTTGTCTATAATGCATTTTTGAAAAGGGTATTTTGAAACAAAACTGAAATAGCATTGTAATATTTAGATTTTATTATAATGCTATTTTAGTTCTGTTTTATTATATATAGTATTATTATATACTAGCTGTTCCCCATAAATTCGCCCGCGCGTAATTTATTACGATCGAATTTCATGGGTTTTAATATTTTGCGCGGAACCCTAATTCTTTTTCTAAATTAAAGTTGGCCTAAGTTACTTATTACACCAGCAATCTGCACGTGAAAGTCCGCTCAAAATCGGTCCAGCTGTTTCGGAGATTAGCCGTAACAAACAGACAGACAGACACAAAAACAGACAGACAAAAACGTTATAAATCGTATTTTTGTTATAAGTACCGTATATACTTTCATATACATATAGTCGAAAGCTGTTATTTCTACATTACAAATATGGAGTGTAGAGTAGAAGGAGAACCATCTTATAAGGTGCGAAAGTTGAAAAAGTGTCCCAATATATACTGAAAATAGAGGTTCCAAAACCTACCACAATAGCGCTGGCGTCTGAAAAACTACGATATAAATATAGCTGTTGTAGACGGAGTGAAGTCAGCTGAATTAAAATATTTAAAAAATTTCATGACTAGAGTAGGTAGTTAGTAAAATGCCAGTATACAAAACCTCAACTATTTACGTAGTACAAAACCAAGCGGATTGGTCAGTCCTTGTTTATTTCTCCATCTTATTCTAATGAATTTTGGCGCTTTTTTTTAAATTTATCCTATGCTACTGCAGCGCCACCCTTATTGGACGCGTTTTTAGGGACACTTTTCATATACAGAGATGGTCCTCCTTCTACTCTACACTCCATAATTACAAACAGACACTTCAATTTTATTTATTTGTATAGATAAGGAACGAAATTATAAGTCTATGGACACTTTGTAAGTCTTTTATTGATTACCTAGCGCAGTCTCAGAATATATTCTGCTCTCCAATATCTACTTTGTATTAATATTTCTCGTTTAGAATGGCATTTTTGTATTTATAGTCTCTAAATACTCCTCAACCTCCTATTTAAAATCAATATCAGCTTTCAATTCCACACAAAGTTTATTTATAGTAGAAATCAATTTGAATTAAATATCTTATAGCGCACATATCAAAATCGTCTAATTCATATCAACCTCCAGTTCCTAGTTTTTCCCGGCGTCACAATTTTAGAAGATGAAGCAGCTGTTATATTACCCTCTTAGAGTTATTTGGGTGACAGTGCGTTCAGAAACGACAAAAACAAAATAAAAACTGCTTTATATCCATTATAAATACATGGTATTAATGAAACAAAGATAACTAAAAACGAATAACGAACCGAAAAAATTGGGGAGTTTCATTGTTATGGCAGGCCTAAAAATTACGGGCTCAAACTTTGGAAAACAATACTGTAAGCCCGTTATTGTCTCGTTCTTCTTCACAAGCACGTTTGAACTTCAAGATAATACCTCTGCCAACACTTTTTATCACTTTCGGCATAATGATGAAAAAATCACGGCACCTAACAGACTTGACGTATCATATTAGTCTGTGCTCTTAACACTCGCCATAAACAGTAAGATGGCGGCACACGATTAGTTCCAATTTCGGCCGCGCGCAGAGTTATCTTGCACGTACTCTAATATTAAGACCCGAAAATAATGAAAATAATTTTTATGCTCTAAGAGATTTGTAAACAGTATTTAATTAGATTATTATGGAAATAAAATAATATTTAGCGTGATGTAATTTATTTCCCACCCGTAGTAAAATTAAAGAATCAATGTACCAAAAATATTGTGAAAGTTTGGTATATTATTGTTAATAACTTTTTACATTAATATATTAAGAAACTTTTATGATGTTCTAATAGACAGAGAATTGCCGACCTAACCATGTATAGTACATTAGCGTAAGAATTAATTAATGTAAATTATGATAATTCTATAGTGAAAATATTAAACAATAAAGAGGCAAAACAGGCAATGGCAAGCGGCTCACTTTAAGGTAAAGCACCGGTCTACCTTAACGCCTCGGGGCCCGGTAATATTGTAATAAAACATAGCAGCAGATAGTAGTACATAGTAGTGGGAGAAAGTTACTACTAAACAACTTGAAGAAATCATCTGAAGAATATAGTGACCAACCGTATTCAACAACCGTGGTCGACAACCAATAGTCAAAAGATTTTCGCCGAACAGTTAAGCAGTTGAACCGCTGGCCACTGCCTTGCCATTTGTATTATACAGTTCATGTATTTTGATTGGACGCCAGTCTACAGTACCCCAGTCGCACCCACAAAGACGGCAGTAGACATATCCGCCGGAACCTATAGGTGAAGGACGTAAGCGACTCGCGGAGTATCTACGACAACATATACTCCCGAGTTTCGCCTGTCCGGCACATAATTATTATTTGAACTTTACAATAACTAGTTTATACCCTGAAGATGCCTTAAGGCGAAACTTCTCGGTTTTATTGTTAGTATATTAATCATCGTCATCATTACAGCCCTTCACAAGTCCACTGCTGAACATAGGCCTCCCCCATGGAATGCCACAAAGCATGGTCCTGCATTCATCGACTTCCTGCATGTCTTACCAGGTCGTCACTCCATCTAGTGGGGGGACGCCCTACTTTTCGTCCGCCAGTACGAGGCCACCACTCGAGAACCTTTTTCCCCATAGGTTGTCGTTTCTTCGAGCTATATGGCCGGCCCATTGCCACTTCTGCTTACTAATCCATTTTGCTATGTCGGTCACTTTGGTTCTACTGCGGATATCCTCATTTCTAAGTTTATCACGCAGAGAAATTCAGAGCATAGCCCTCTCCATATCTCGCTGAGTGACCTTGAGCTTCCTCATCCGGCCAGCAGTGAAGGACCACGTCTCAGTTCCATAGATCATCACTGACAACACGCAGTGGTTGTACAGTCTCGTTTTCAAGTTTTGAGGTGTACCTGACGAGAAAATGTGTCGTAATTTCCCGAACGCTGCCCAGCCGAGTTGAATCTGTCGATTGACCTCTCGGTCGAAGTTAGACTTACCTAGTCGGACTATTAGTCCCAGGTAAACATACTCGTCAACAACTTCGAGCTTAGTGCTCTCAACAACTACCGGCATAGGTGTGACTTGGACGTTATACATGATCTTTGTTTTGTGTTCATCTTAAGCCCTATCCGTCAGGAAGCACTGTTGAGGTCATTGAGCATAGTGCTTAGGTCCTCCAGCGATTCTGCCATAAGGACTCTATCGTCAGCCATTCGAAGGTGAGTGATGTATACGCCGTTGATGTTGATACCGTATCCTTTCCAGTCCAGAAGCTTGAAAACGTTTTCCAATGCAGCGGTGAAGAGTTTCGGAGATATAACGTCACCCTGTCTTAGTTGGATAGGTTAATTAATAGAATCAGACGTTACTTTGCGGAAATCCATTATATCGGGTTGTTATAAACTAATTTGCTTAATTTCGCGTAAAGAAAGAAAATGATGTATCCTGCCCAGTTTTAAGGGGACCTCCCACCCTCCCTCAATCTCGCGCATTATAACCGTCGCCGTCAATCCCAGCACTACCACCCCAGCACCACCACACTAGGCGTTACTGCTATTATTTTTTAATATCTCTAACTTTTCCAGCACACACAGTCGCAGCCTTTTATTACGTATGTAAGACTTTAAAGGAGTGGTCATTGGCTAGGCTGTGTCCAGTGTCCAAGAGATGTTTAGCAAAATGTGATTTATCGGGATTTATCATTACTACATGCAATTCCTGTACGCGTTTAAATGCTCCTTATAACGTGTTTGGAAGTTGCGACCAGTCTGACCCACGTAAACAGCTTGGCATTCGTCACAAATAAGTTTATAAACACCAGACTTTAGACGAATATCTAACTTATCTTTATAATTACAGATATTCCTAAGTGAATTGTTTGTTTTGAACGCCACGTAAACGCCTCTCTGTCGAAGATTATTAGCTTTTTTTCAGATATGGAATCTAAGTAGGTCAAACTGCCAATATATCGACTAGTACTTTGAAGTTTAACCGCGTACAGAGAATTGCGTACTGTTATAGATTCCCTTTTAATAGGGATCCGCTGACACAAAGCATACAGTCAGCACTCTCTTAGTAGCTTCGGTAATTTCTTATTTCAACACTAGCAATACCGCCAGTCAGTCATACACTCTCATCCGAAATACTCGCCTCTCAATTTCAATTCCAAACTTGTGTCATTCTATAATAAAATCCAGTTGTAATTTCTAAATAGGTTTTTTTAAAAGACATTTCGTGAAGCCCCGTATAACATTGGTGGCAACGGTGAAGGGATCTATAAAAGGTCCTTGGTGCCTCTGAGGACTCAATTGTGCAATTACTAGAACGTTCTGTGTTGTGATTTCTATAAATACTGTAGTGTTATGCTACTTACATATCATTTTACACTATTTTAAATTCATTTTTCCATTCTGTTTTGATTTTCTGCATTCACCTCAAAACTGGATATTTTGTATCACCTTTATTTCCATAGGATCCTGTAACGTTTTTAAACAATAAGAACACAATAACAAATCATTTTCACTTCGTATTTTCACGCTATCAGCATTTTTTAAATCGGTGTCGATGGAGTCTACCTTTTTCGATCTTTTATTTAGTTCTCCGTAACTCTGCAATTTCGGGCTTCGTGCGCGCTGGTGCGCTACCTTTTTTTCTATATCAATAATATCTCATTTTTCACTTAAATCTTGCCGTTTCTCTATTACGAGCCTGAAACCAAAATTTGACATGTTTTGACAACGTTGTTTATCTGGTTGTCATGGCAATTTTTATTCAAATTCGTTACCGGTCTGATGTTTTTACTTCAATACTTCCACAAAAATACTTTTTTCTTCTTGGCCATTTACAAAAATTTGCTTTTAATTTAAATAATTTTCCGTTCTTATCCCAGATCCGCCGTCGAGCGCGGAGCTCTCTAAAAAGGTATAAAAGCCGAACAATCGCCCAATAAACTCAGTCTCGCTTCAGCTTTCAAACTTGAAGCATCTCCTAAAGGCCTTATCCCGGGACCGCACTGCCCTGCAAGCCTCTGCCTTCACCTGAAGTCGTCGCCTAGCCACGCCCACGCCTCCACCTACTAGTGCCCGCGCTATCTTTAGCCGCTGTGCGTGCTTGCTCCAGGCGCTGCGAGCGCTTAATCCAGGCGCTGAGAGCGCCTACTCAGGGCGCTGTGTGTGCCTACTCCAGATGCAACGTGTGCCTATTCCAGGCGCTGCGTGTGTTTACTCCAGGCGCAGCGTGTGCCTACTCCAGGCGCTGCGTGTGCCTACTCCAGGCGCTGCGTGTGCCTACTTCAGGCGCTGTGTGTGCCTACTCCAGGCGCTGCGTGTGCCTACTCCAGGCGTTGCGTGTGCCTACTCCAAGCGCTGTGTGTGCCTACTCCAAGCGCTGCGTGTGCCTACTCCAGGCGCTGCGTGTGCCTACTCCAGGCGCTGCGTGTGCCTAGACCAGGCGTTGCACGCCTACCACAGGCACAGCCTGTGCATACTAGCACCACCGCCAGGCGCGGTGTGCCACTTTGGTCCTCAAGCTCCGCTTCAGTACTCATCTATCTTTATTATCTTTTTTTTAAATAATTGTAATTCACGTCACCCATCATCATCGTCATACTTCATTTTTTTATATAAAACTGTAAATATCTTTTTAAATTTTAAATAAATTATTTTTTTTGTTCTATTTTTGTTGTTTCGTTGTTGTTAGGTTAAGTTCTTTTGTTTTTAAATGTCGCTTTACGACAATACTTACCGCTTAAAACTCGTTTCTTCGCTGAACTTCCGAAAACGATACCCGCCTGGCCACATGAAAATTCATGTTAGAAGTCATGCAACTGAAAAAAAAGAAAAGAGAATAGAAGAAGAATACCACCCAGCATCTGCTCATCATCCGCAAACCGAGCCTACGAAGTCAACAGTGCTGCGCACTTCCGCTGTTTTATACGCTGTCGCCATGTTCCTGAATCCTAATGAAAAATACAAGTACATAAACCCGACATGTCGTCCCGTAAGTCCGCTCCAGTTTTATACGAATATTATAATGATACAGTCTTAAATATTGTGAACATAGAATTATTACCCAGTAGAAACGCAGTCTAGTACAAAACACGAGCGTTAAAATGATGCAAGGTCATTACGTTAGTGGGCTCGAGTCGAATGTACCTACGCTCGTCATACGCACACATACACGCCTTTCAGTGATACCAGTTTTTGACGTTTGCAATCATATTGTGCAAATTACTATTTTATTGATTAATTTTAAATAATCGATATAATAAAGATAACGTATTACGTACGAAGATATATTTTATGAGAATATAAAATGGAATAAAATAAACACGATAATGATGGTACTAATATAACTTAATTATACATATCGATACCTCGGGGCTGAAAGGGCGTATAGCACAAAACGCGACTTTTCAGGAGAACGAATAAACTAAAAAAAATAAAAATGTTCGCCGATATATTTTTTATTTGAAGTGCTACCTAAATATAATCTATGGCAAAAGTTCTTACAATTAGTTGTATTTTCATGTAATATCTAAAAAATATGTCTCTGCCTAGTCGTTACAGAAATAGCTATTCCTATACAACCAAAAAGAAAGAAAGAAATATTCTTTACACCTCTCAAAAACTAGCTTGTGTAGGAATTTTAGGGCGTAAGTCAAACCTATCGCTCAAAATACAAATTATAATTAGGGTAAAGGCCACTTCTGTTTAATTGTATAGTAGTAAAAGACAATTTATTAGGGTATAAAATCATAGATGAACAACAAAATTCAGACAGAACTTCGCTTACCATTATATATATATATATATATATATATATATATATATATATATATATATATATATATATATACATAAACACTCACGCCTGTCACCCATAGGGGTAGGCAGAGACTACGGCCTTCCATTTGGCGCGATCCTGACACACCTCTCTCGCCTCTTTTACATCCATATATCTACGCATACACGCTCGTCGGTTAAGGGTACTCCTAATCTGGCCCATTTTTAATGTATCGCCGATTTGGTCGATAAACCTTCGTCTAGGGCATCCCTTCCCGACCCTGCCGTTCACTTCTGCAACATAAATTTGCTTTGTCACTCTTTCCTCGTTCATTCTTTCTGCATGACCAAACCACCGAAGCATTCGTTTCTTAATCCTTGTCACAACGTCATCTTGCAAACCACACTTTTCTCTTATCACACTATTTCTCACCCTGTCATTCAGATTCAGCCCTAGCATACTCCTTAAGGAACGCATTTCTACAGCATTTATTCTACTCTCATGCTTCTTCTGCCAGACCCAACTTTTACTACCATACATTAAAGTAGGGACTAAGACAGCATTATGAATTGCTATACGTGCCTTAGTTGACACATTCTGACTCCTCATAATAGCATGTAGAGCCCCATTCACTCTATTTCCTGCGTTCACTCGTCGTTCTATATCCTTATCATATCTACCATCCCTGCTAAATAAACATCCCAAATATACAAATTCATCCACTTGCTCAATCAACTCCCCTTGTATTCTTATTTCACATAAAGTTTTACTTTCTTCTCTTTCAAAAACTATTACTTTCGTCTTACTTACGTTCACTTTCATACCCCTTTCTTTCAATGACCAATTCATTGAAGTAACCATCATTTGCAACCCGGCCGCCGACGATGCAAATATGACTTGATCATCGGCGTACAACAGGCATTTGATGGTTAATTCACCCATTCTCAAACCACATTCTTCAACTTTCAAAGTTTGCAAACAACTGTCCATAAATAGGCTAAACAGCCACGGGGAAGCCACACATCCCTGTCTGACACCTTTATGAATGCCAAACTAGTCCGAGTAGACCCCGTTGATCCTGACACAAGCACTAGAGTCCCTATAAAGAGACCTTAATGCCTGTATCAAGCCAGCGCTCAACCCAAATGAGTTCAGTGTTTGCCATAACACATTCCTGTCCACTCTGTCATAAGTCTTTTCCAAGTCCATGAACGCACAAAAAACTTTCTTGTATTTTGGCCAAAAACTTCTCCGCTATCATGCGCATGGAAAAGACTTGATCCGTACACCCCATTCCCTTTCTAAATCCAGCTTGCACATCCCAAATTGTTCTATCAGTTTCTTTCATAAGTCTTTCAATTAACACCTTAGCATACAGTTTACCCACAATGCTAAGCAAGCTGATACCACGGTAGTTTTTACAGTCCTGCTGCGACCCTTTCCCTTATATATTGGGACTATCATGGCTTTGCACCAGTCTTCCGGTACCCGCTTCAGTTCCCAACAAAAATAAACAAGGTGTATAGCAGGCCTGCAACCACACCCTCACCAGCCCTTAGCATTTCGAGTGATACTCTATCATATCCGGCTGCCTTACCTGCTTTCATGCTTTCATTATTTCATCTACACTTATCTCCCTACCTCTCTCCACTTCTTCCGGAATTTCTATTTCACTTATTTCAAACGACTCTTCACTCTTAAACACGCTTTCAAAGTATTTCTTCCATCTCTTTAAATTCGAAACTTCATCATTCAGCATG